ATAAATAGCGTATATAATGGCTTAAGGGTAGGAGGTAACCATAAATAGATATTTTGCTATAAATATTAAAAGGTAGCTATAGAATATAATTTTTTTAAATGGTATTTATTTAAAAAATAAATAAGGTGTTAACCTTTGTTATAGGAGTTAAAAATTCCTTAAAAGTATCATTTTGACAAAAGAAATCGTAATTGAGCACATTAATAAAATCCCTAGTCATGGGTCAAAGGGCGGCAAGCTTGGCCCAATAAAACTTGACGGGTGCTGCGAAAAGGCGGGAAGTTTTGCCGCCATATCAGAGTAAGGAAACTCTTGACTGCTCACTTCCCCAATTTTATTCAAACCCATCCCTATTTCTCTATTCACACTCTCCAGTTTCTCCTCCAGGCACTAATCATCAATTTCCAAGGTTAGATTTAATATTAGACCGCAATTTGCTGTTGTTAATTGATATTTTTTTTTACCATTTGGGTTGTTTTGATTTGTTCATGTTGTATTACTTATTGCAATTTTCTTGTAATAATGAGTTATTTTTTCACTCAACCCATATTATTCTTGGTGCGAATAGTACATTAACTTTGTTTTTGAAAAAATAAATTTTACATATTCAGGAACCATATAAAAATTACTGCGGTTCACATATTTGAAAAAATCTTAGTCGAAGAAAATCTATGATTCCCCAAATAATAGTAATAATAGTATTATTCTTTTTGGAGTATTAAGATAAACATGGATCATGTTGAGCATGGGCTGAGCTAGAAGCCCGGCTTCGGGAACCTAGTAGCTTTTGCTCAAATAGTGTATTTGTGCTAGGAAATTCATTAAATATGTACAAATATTAAATTTAGAACCTAGTTGTTAGTACTTGAAGTCATCGTTCCAAAATCCAGCACTCATTAAGTTGAAATCCTAGCTCCGCCTCTAAAGTTGAGTTGATGTTCCGTGTGAAATATGCAGTTAGAACTTAGAAGTGTTTACGAGTTTGCAGTTTTAGTCTTTGTTTAGTAGATGCTTATAGTTTATGAAATGCATGTTCAGTGATGGAGGCATTTTGTGTAATTAGCAACTGCTAATACTATTGGCTTAGTCTGATTGGGGAGTTTATAAAAGTTTAACTAACATGCTCTTGATTTGCTGTCTTTAAAGTTTTAGTAGCAAGAGCCAATGAAAATGTAAAATGTTTACTATTCTGTTTACTAAAGTTCTGGAACCAGAAACATAACTTGAGATAGAGAAAAAAGGTTTGAAAAGCGATTCTCAGTTCCAAATTTAATTCTCTTCAATTGGTATAGCTAGTTATTGACTCTAGGTTTGATGGCTAAGAGTTAAATGCTTATAAAAGTCTTATCTCACTCAATTATCCTAAATTTTGTGTGCAAATGAGTCTAAGATACTAATGAAAAATTTGGTATATTTTAGTCAAAATCTGTTTGTCCGTCGAATATGAATGCCGGATGCCATTAGACATGAAATGCTATTGTTGGGCTAAACCACCCAAAGATACTCTTAACATGATATGATATTGTCAGCTTTGGGCCAAGCCCTCACCGTTTTTCTCAAAATGTCTCATACCATTAAGAGTATCCCTATACTTGATATGTAGCTTTCCAATCTTTTTCGGCTATCAATGTGTGAATTTTGTTCGTACAACCAATAGTTATTCTATAACTTGCTATGGCAAATGACATGAAGAAATACAATCTCGACTCAGTTTTTATTTTTTGTTTTGTAGGAGATGGACACGTCAAATCCTGCAGTCTTTGTCAATGCTGAGTTCCTCAAAGAGCACGTGGGAAGGAGGGTTCGCGCAGTGGTTCAGGTTATGCAGTCTGATGGTGATACAGTCATTGGAAAATCAACTGATGAAAAACAGCTAGTTTTGAAAGGAAATCCACCTAATCCTCTTTCAACTTTTGTTGAAGTAATTGGTATTGCTGACACTACCCAGTCTATACAGGCAGAAACTTGGACCAATTTTGGTGATACTCTTGGTATGTCTTGCTAATGTTATTCAGATAATATTCTTGGTTTTTCCTATATCCTTTGTATTTGAATGCTAGTTTTGTACAATACATGTACATGCATTCATCGGCGATAACTCCAAACTTTCCTGCTGAATTGAAAGAGCTACTGGTAAGATGGAAATATAAATTTCCCCCAAGATAAATAAACTGTATTTTTGCTCGTACACAAAGATGAAAAAGGAAAGGAGGGCATTGTTAAGATTAAGTTCATAACTCTATAATTGATGGTGCAGTTCATGATAACTATAAGTACATAAACATTTTGGTCACGGGAAATTTAAGATCTATAAGATACTCCACAGATGAGTTGGTTGTATCAATTAAGTGAACTGAACAATTGATGGTAGAGTCATTCATTGCCTGTCGTTTATCTTCATTCTGTTGCTTCTGAATTTTTTTTATAAGAAATTCAAGAATTAAAACAAAGGGATTTGGTTAGTGTAACTAATCAGATTGTTATGATGTCTATAATTTACAGTAGTGTTCTACTTTGCCTACACCCCTACCATCATGTGGTAGCTGTTATTATTCTTACTCTGTCAAACATTTCAAGACCGATGTAATTTACAACAAAATACTGAGTATATTCCCACATGTGGGATTTGTGGAGTATAATATGTACGCAGACCATACTCCTACCTTGTGCAGGTTCCAGTAGACCCTTGGCTCAAGTAAGCACAATATTAGCAGTAAAGAAATGCAATATAAAAAATGAACAAGTCATGGAAAGGAGACATAGCAATAGCGGGATATTAACAGACTGAAACACACGCAATATCGATGTAGTAATCTGACCTCAGAATAAGTGATTCCAGACTGCATATAACTTTGTGCATGCTATGGTCATTTCATGTAGGCATAGTTTGATTATGTAAAATTCTTCTAATAACTTGAGGTTTATTGAAACTTTTGCTATATGCATAGTGCTTTCCCTCTTGATTATCTATACTTGCTCATCTTCTTCTGAATCCCAAATTCTTTCATATTTGGCAGATATTACTAGCTACGACAAGGTTTGCAGACTGGCAAATGGGGACCATAAGCACTTGTTTATCTGAGGAATGGCGATCGAATGCTATAGAAGAGGTTGAATTCTAATTTCTGCTGCATTCTTGCAGTGTCTAAATGTATCAAAGTAGTTTGAATTACTTTTTGAACATTTGGATCTTCAGCTTCTGTTAGTTATCAGAAGTTTAGTTCTGTGGTAGATAGAAACTTGTTTTGTTTTTGCTATTTGGTATTGAACCCTATATTTGTGGTTCCCTTAGCTAGTCATTTTGACTTCAAATGAACTGTGTTACATAAGTTGGATACTCATGTGCTAAAAAATGGTACAACTTTGCCAATCCCTAACCTAGAACTTCCATCCCTATCCAAAGCAATTTCATCCGACATATATTGGATAACTTCATAGTCGAATTCAAAATTTAAACTTTATGATTTAAGTTTCCTTTTTGTTTAGACGAAAGTCATAAAAATCAAACTCGCGTTTGTTATGTGAAATACTTCTATTGGTATTTCAATAGCTCCACATATGTATACTGTAGTACCATACTCTAGTCTCTACTTTAGTAGCCCATGGTCACCTAATCTTTTCATTGTGCTTTTAGAATTTTTTAAAAGTATTACTTCACTTTATATTTTTGTATTTTACGACAAAGTAACTAATCTTGATTGAAATATGCACATATATGAAGATGGATTTAATAACTACTTAGTCTCTCCAAAATGTTTATATTTTATCAGAGTTCCTCTAACTCCAAATAACATAAATTTAAATTGCTTTTGTACCATACTCTATAAAGGCTCATTTTTCATCCAACAGTATAAAGGGTCATTTTCTCATCATTATCTCTCATTTATGGACTTACAATTGTTATGAATGTGTTGGTCATATTTTATTTTTGGCAATTTATGTTAATAAAGTTAATCTTTTTTAAAAATACACACCTGGAATGTTCTATGATTTTTGTGCTTATTGTATTAAAAAAATTACTCTAAATAATTTAAATCGAGTGAGCTTTAGAAAAGTTTTGAAAATATTGATCTATCATTAAAAAGAGGTACGAATTGCACACATTTTACGAAGTTGTCTGTATTAGTTGATAACATAATAGAATATATGCCTGATTCAAGAATACTTGTCACATATAATTTTTTTCTAAGAAATTTTAGTTTGGGAAATTATTTCTTATGCATCAAACAAATGATAATGACAACCTCCTTTTGTTCCTTCCAAAAAACAATTAACAATAATACCGCGGGGAAGAGTCATTTGGAGTTTTGGAAAAAAAGAAAAGGAAAAAAAAAATTGATTCTTAATTCCTACACAATAATTACGTTATGGCATACAAATATGACTTTGTAATTATTACATTATACTAATTTTAGGGTACGCGCGATTCAGGTGTATCTTCACTGTGAATGTAGACTTTTTTGAAACTACATAAATATTATCAAAGAATATACTTGAGTTAGAAAAATAT